ACATGATAATACCCTTGCCCTAATGATATATGGAACATGATAGTATCCTTACTATATATGGTGCATGGGTACCATGCGACTACCATGATCTACATAAAAAAACAGAAGTCGCATTTTCGGAAGATAATTCTATTAATTTTTCACTGAATTCAATTTCACTATTTTAGAAAAAAATGTCAGTTTTAACGAAATGCCAGTTCTTGCAAAAACTGAAAGAGTATAACCTCACGGCTAGCGGCGTCAAGTCAAGACACTACATGTGTGAAACGACTACTTTTGGGTTTTTGTATGACAAAAGGAGTCGTCAGCCAGATTAAAAAAAGACTAACAAGCTACGTTACCAGCTGTCCGATTGGGAGACGTCTGCCCCAGAGGTCTCCGGGAGACGATCGAGGGGGAGGTGTCCAGAAAATCCTACAACCGTTTTTTTGCCCCCCTCCCCAAAAAAAAAAAAAATGGGGGGGGGTTGCGCACTGCTGGGGGACCACCAAAAATATTTTTGGGGCTATTCAGAGCAAAAATATAAAAAAAAATAGAAACAGGCTTTGGGGTGTGGGGGGGGGTGGGGTTGGGTCATTGGGTGGTTTGGTGTTTGGGGGGCTCCAATGGAGCACGACGCTGCAACTGTCACTGCTTTGTCTGATCATGCAGCGGTTGCGGTAGGTGCAGCAATTGCTGTTTGTACAACATCCGTTGCATCAGATGCAGCAGGTGCAGTGACAACAACATCCGCTGCAGCAGGTGCAGCAGCTGGTACAAGTACTACACGCACTGCATTCCACCCACATACGCAATTGAAACGGTATTCACCTGTTAGCAGTAGCGAATGCAGATCAGAGGGTTCTATCCCCAGACCTTACCTTACCCGTGTACGGTATCGAGTTGACCCCTGAGTGTTTGAACCCGTGACCTGTATTTCGTTAGTTGTTGTTTGTCTGTCGTAGTACTGTGTAGACGTAGGGGTTCAATCTGTAGACCTGTCGGATAGGAGTCTTAGTGAGTTCTAGAAGTCGTAGTTGTAGCTCCTTCGAAGGGTCAAGGTTGTAGCTGCTACAGTCCTGAAGGGTCAAGGCTGCTACAGTAACGAAAGGCCAAGTCCACAGTCTTCCGGAAGGTCCGGAAGTGGCCTTTCGAAGTTGTCTCACGTTTTAGTCAGAGGCAAGTAGGCAAGTGGTGAGCCCAACTGCGTTACGTTGGCAGCGCGACTGCATCGAGTTGGCAGTGCAAACTCATGCAGTCAGCAGTACTGGTCCAGTCAGTCCCTGTCCAGTCCAGCAAGTACCATGAGGGACTGTGTGCACCATGGGCCGATGGAAAGAGGCAGACCAACGAGTTACAGAAGTATAAATCAAGAGGCAGCGCCCAGCCATTCACTCATTCGTTGTGTAAGCCATGCAAAAGCGCTGCTACAGTGACTTGTGATAGGTGGTCTGCAGTGTGCGTGAAGACGAAGTGGGCAGGGAAGGAGAGTAGTCATAGCGTAGTGGTAGAAGCGGCCATAGCCGCCATAGCTGGTCGTGGAGTGTAGTGTGTGTGGTGTGTGTGTATACAGTGTGAGGCGTGTGGGATATCCAGGGTGATCCAGAGTTGAAGTGTGAGCGAACAGTGGTGTGGGACACAATAACGAGAGTTACGATGTATAGGTGCTGATGCACCTTAGCCTGTGGAAGCGAGTTGCATCTGAACTGTGTTCTTGGTTCCATATCTTTGAGCTTTGAGTTGAACTCCAAGCGCCAGTGTGAATCACCATTTGTTTGTATGCATGCGAACTGATGAAGTAAGTGAGTCTGATTGCACGCACACCGCATACACACCATTTCGATTGATTGCCTCAATGACTGAAAGAATGGGTGACCAAGCGACAGGCTGACTGACTTACATACCGTTTGACTGACTGACGAACTGATTGCATGCCTTAGTAAGTGACTGTGTGACTGACTAACTGACAGACTGACTCACTGGCATACACAGAGAAACACACACAGACACACACACACACAACGACATTCGCATTTGTTGAACACGGTTGCACATTGTGGTTGCAATTTCAAGCATGACAATTAAATGAGAGAGAACCACGACCAATGCAACATTTAGAGTTCAACTGCGAACTTCAGCAACGAAATGCAACTCATCCTCTGTGTGTGTGTGTGTGTGTGTGTGTGTGTGTATGTGTGTGTGTGTGTGTGCTACCATGGCAGCAACCAATGATCCACAACAACTCATGCAAACTTACATTGATTCCACCTCACTCCGAACACCTCCTCCACACTCCACCGCCCCCTACCCCAGACACCCACACTCCACCGCCCCCCACCCCAGACACCCACACTCCACCGCCCCCCACCCCAGACACCCACAAAGACGAATGCATGCAGATGGACAGACACCACCCCACTACATCCCACTACTCCGCCATGTTGCCGGTTCCATCGGAGTTGTTGTCATCTCCTGCCTCATCCTGACCGCTCATACGAGTCTCCTCTGCATAGTCGCTGTCGGACATCTCATCTTTTTTTTTTTTTTTTTTTATAGAGAAAATTGCTCTAATCTATTCGTGGGGAGCAGCACGTGCTGGGAACCGGGCCCAGCGTCCCTTAAAATGGAAATACATTCATGATTGATGATCATTGATGATCATGATCATTGATGATAATTTGGGATGATTGAGGATCATTTAGGATGATTTACGATGATTATGGATGATAGAGTGGATGACTGAGATCATGAAATAGAGATAGATGAAGACTAATCCGAATGATTGTCTACCCAACATTCAAATACTATCCTATCCCTAAATTCCTGTATCCATTCAACCAATCGCAATTGAGTCTGTGCTGTGCACCAATCAGGCCTCTTCCTTGTCTCACACCATTCTGACTCGGTTACGGGGCAACGCTACCCACCCCAACTCCGACCATCGTCGGCCAGATTGTAGCCATCAGTTAAGTTTGCAGATCACCTTCCTCCCTCGGCAATCCCATACCTCTATACAAAGCCCCAAGCTCCTACTAAAGCAGGTTACAGGGCACCATACCAGCGTCGGCCAGCGTCGTTCTAGCGCCAACTGAATGTGGTCATTACACAAAAAGGCTCAATTAGGAAATTAGCTAAGCTAGAATGCCAACCAGTAATCTAGGATCTAATAATATCAGAATCCTGATTAAAAACCTTTCTGATGATGCAATTTGACGAGTACCCTGAGATGATCACTAAATTGTCGGATAATGATGAGGATGCTGATGATTATTCCTCTCCACCCCTCCCCCTCCTCCATGTGCTCTTCTCCTCTCCCCTCGTTTCATGTTCTCCTCTTCTCCTCTCGCTGCCTCCGTTGATATGAACCCCACTATCAGTATGAAACTCCTATTAGCCCCAATGAGAGAGATATCCTCCCCATTCCCTTCTGCCTTGAAGTAACCAGTTCCCCCAAAAGGTGTACCTCAAATCTGACACTCTGACCTAGTCTGCCTCCGCCAAGATATAATGTGCCCCCATACATATCTCCCAGCCCCAGTCCATGTCAGCTCCCATCATCTGCGTCTACTCCCTAAAGGGCAATCACCTGCCACCTTGTGTTACCCCTGCGGAGTAGCGCTCCCTTCCTGACCGACCTACCTACCAACTAGACCATAACCTATCTGGGCAAAGACAATATAACCACCAACACATAGACATCTATTGATTGATGGAAAAATTAATAAATAAATTTTGATAATGATGATGATGATGAAATAAAATTAGCGAGAAATAAGTAAGGAATGTTTGAACTTGCAATACCCTAATGGCACCGGTGTGGAAGATCGACAACTCACTATTGTTGTAATAATAAAGAAGATGATAACGATTAATAGGAAGAAAGTGACCAGTAAAGATGATGACCCGTAATGAAGAATTATGAATTGATACACTTTAGTATGAACGACTCCCGATGATGATTTCCCTCATAGATGACAATGATGATAATCTTGATGCTCTTGATAGATAACCTGTACAAGATAAACAATCAAAAAAACAAAAATGAGCAGCTCCCTTGAAGATGACTCTTGATGATCTTCCTCCTGAGAATGCTGGCCAGCGTTGTGATAACGTAGACAAGTGGAGTCCAACGCACTTCGGTCTCCATGGGGCGAACTCCATTTTCTTCCACCGACATTGGCATTGCACCAACTCGCTTGAGCATTACAGCCTCCTAAAGGGGCGTTAGCTGTGGAGTACTTCGTGTGGAAGACACAGAGAGACTGTACGAGCAGCCGCCACCGCCACTACTCTCCCCTCGCCACTGTGACTTAGACCAGATGCCTCGTCAACCCGTGGCATGGCTTGGCGTAGTGCCTCTGGTTTCCTTGCGTGCATTAAGCGCTCACTCTGACCACTTCACCACTTCTGTCGTATACCACTCACGCAGCTTTTGGGTGCTCACGCCACATCAGCGCTCGCATCTCCCACAAGCAGCCAGCAACCCGCCGCGTGCAAGCCACCAGCGCCTCGCCATATGTGAAAAGTCAGCGCCCCGCTACTCGCAAGTGGCCAGCGCCTCGCCACCCGTAGGAAGCCAGCGCCTCGTCTCCTGCTAGCAACCAGTGCCTCGCCGTCCATCCGTGGCCAGCGCCTCGCCACTTCCACGCCTCGTCGTCCATCCGTGGCCAGCGCCTCGCCACTTCCACGCCGCCTTTGCCTCGCCACTTGCTTGCTGCCATAGCAGCATCGTAGGCGCATGCACCCGTGCAGCGCTAAGTCGTGCTCACCCTTTGCTTGCGTCTATCTATTGCCCGCACTTCCGCCGGACATCTCATCTGAGGTGTTGCCGTCATCATTCTCATCAGGATCATCATCTAGCACGCGAGTAGAGGTTTTCTGCATCTCTCTACTAGGCGCTCGAGATCTTGTACGGACACCGGCTGCAGCACCAACTGCTGCAGCAATCTCCTCCGCAACATCGCCAGTCGCTGACCTACCATGGCCTAGTGCACTCAGCGCCCATGAATGGTGTTGCTTGCCTCGGCCTCTGCCGGAGCCACGGGGGCGGCCACGACCTCGACTGGTGCCTACTGTTGGACTTGCAGGAGGTGGCTCCTCGCCTACATCATCATCCCTTTGTCTTTCTTCCTGCCAACATGACTCGTCTTGACATTATCGCGGATAGCCGAGGACTGTCGTGCCGGAAGCAGGGGCATGCCAAGCGGACTGCGGTCGGGAGTGGTAGCCGTCCTAGATGAAGATGGTCGTAGCGATTCGGGATGAGTAGGGCCCTCAATGAGCATGGAAGTGTTGGGTGAGTAGATGTCCGTGGGCGCTGGCGATGGCGGTATGCCTACTGGACTGGTCAAGGGGATGCGACTTGTCATTAACAAGCTGCGTCCCCCTCCCTGCATCGCTATCCTGGAGCCGTCGTCGACAGCTCCTCTAACTCCTCCAGATGCTCTCTCCTGAGCTGCCAGGCGATGTGCTGGGGACATGCAATGCACAACAAGATCCACCTCTTCCGAAGATTGTGCGGCACGTGGGGGCAGTGGAGGAATCCCGTAGAATGAACCCCTTGTGAGTGTCATGTCTCGAGCACGGCTCTCCTGCCGGAGATCCCTACCCATCTCCTCCATCCTGTCCTCCATCCTATCCTCCGTCATCACAACGCCCTCATCTCGGACGACACTCACGTCAATCCTCTCACTCACTCTCTCTCGTACAATGCCTGATCGCCCTTGATCCACTTGCTGCTCCACACTCACATCCACCCTGACTTCCACCCTCTGTTCCACCCTCTGCTCCACCCTATGATCTGCAGCAAGGGGAGCACATGGATGTATGCTTTGGACCGCCCTCTGTTCCACTGTTGCGGCCAAACCTTCCCCAACCCGCTGCTCTACAGTCTGCACCACCATTGGTCGAGCGCCGTCCTTGTCCATCGGGTGTGCATTCTCGTACAAGCTATGGTCTGTGCTGTCACCCACCCTCTGCTCAACCCTCTGCCCCATCGATTCCTCTGCAGCCATGTCCGCCCTCTGATCCACCGTCTGCACGACACTCTGCCTGACCCCCGGACGCTTTGCGAGCTGCTCTACCACCTGCTGCACCCCCTCCCTGTGTTGTGCCCTGTGCTCCACTGGCTGATCTGCCCTCTCGTCCATGCTATCATTACGCCTCTACTCTGCCCTGTGCACCGCAGCACGGTGTACTGTACCCTGTGAAGACCTGCCAGTCCTACGCACGTCGACAGTGCAAGCAGGGGAACCTAACGCGGCAGAAGCATGTGCCGCCAGACCTCCGGAATCGACGCTGGTCGGTCGTGCAAAACGGGAGGACGATGGATGATTGACGTGCTGTGATGTTGTGGCGCATGGTGACCCTATCTCCACCACCCGTGGTTGTGACGTCGAGGCAAGAATGTCATCATGGCGGTGCTCAATGTCCTCCTCTGCCCCCTCTGCATCGTCTGTTGCCAATAGACCCTCAACATCAACGTGGCTTCCCACCCTGCTCCGAAGGGTCCTCACCGCCTGGAAACTGCCATCGACGTACGAGTCGAGGTCCGTGTGAGGGTCCAATGTCGCCCAATCGTTGAAAATATCATGTTGGTCTTCTGCAACCGCCTTCCCTCTGCCCCGATTCTCCTGCGGCTCCTCCATCATCTCACGGTGCATCCACACCGCATCCTGCCATGGGGACATTGCATCTGCCGTACGATCATATGTCGATACAGACGTGATCCGATTACGACCGTCCTTGCAACGGTTAACCTGATCCATGAGCTCCCAGTCATCCTCAGCCACATCTGCGGGGATGACATTTGTATCGTCGATCTCCTCAGGGGGGTCCTCTACCATATCCGCCCACACCTCGATATAACGACTCTCCGGCCGCCTGTCGGCACTGAGAAGCTGCATGTTCCAGTTTATGAACATGAGTTTCTCAACACTCTTAGCAGAGAGGTTGTTGCGTCGCTTCGTGTGTATGAAGTCGTGAGTCGCCCAGTTGCGCTCGCAAGGAGTTGTTGTCGACCACATGCCAAACACCTTTTTCGCGATGGATTGCAACTTTGGGTAACGGTTGGCATGAAGCTCCCACCACAACGCTGGGTGCATGGTCTTCGTTGTTGCATCCCGAGTGGTGTACTGGTCCCACGAGTAAGGTCCATGGTCCGACTAGTACCGCGGATCGTCGGAATGGAAAGTCCATAAAGCCTCCCAGAGTTTGTGCATCTCCTCCGCCCCCCAGTCCCTGCCCATACTGAGAGCGAAGTGGTCAAGCGTGCTCTGCACAACAGGGGCCGAACGATCCCTTAACAACGACACGTCGCGCCGACGAGGATGCAACAAATAAGTCGCGGCATAGGCAGGCTGACGCATCATCGCGCACCTATCTGCCACAATCTCCATGACAGGCGCCCTCTCTTGGTCGTCCAACAGCAGAGCGTCAATCTTCCTCCGGAAGATTAACTGCAGATCCCACAAACCTGGCGGCGACGACCCATCGCGGTCCATGTCCCTAAGGAAATCGTAACACGGCTCCATCATGTCTATCATTCTCTTCAATTGCTGCCACCATGCATTAGATCTACACAGCCCGCGGACCTCCGGCTCATCAGTCCATGCATCGCCAGTCCATCGTGCACGTCTCCACTTATCTGATGACACCACCTCATCAAGCACAAACCTCTGTGCCCACAGCCTTTCCAGCATCATGAAAGCAGTCTCAAATCGAGTATCTGCTGGTCGCTTGAGGTCAAGCGCATGCTTCGTGCCTCAGTGCAGTGTCAGTGCCTTTTGTTTGTTTCTCATGAACTTGATTATCTTGTGCGCCCGCTGCATGACTACTTTTGCTCAAGGTTGTGCAGCAATGTCCCTCAACAGCAAGCTAAGGCAATGTGTTGCGCACAGGATCCAAGGAATGTGTGCAATGGCGGGGTCTAGATGGGACTTCAAAACGCTGGCCGCTGCCTTCATCAGCTCCGCATTGTCGGTGCAAATCGCATTGACATTCTCGACCCCAATGTCATCTCGTATGACACTCTCCCATATCTCTGCCAAACTAATGCCTATCTTGTCCCGGTTTAACATGTCGATGGTACGAATGACGACCGGTCTAAATTGCCTTGCTGCGATGAAGTTCATGATGGGTTTGTTCCTCTGGTCCTTCGCCCCGTCCGTCATCAAAGTGCATCTGGTGTCCTTCCACTTTGTCTTGTAAGGGCGATAAGTGTCGCGACCTCGTGTAGATTATGTCCAGCAACCTCGTCCTGACTCCCTCGTATGTCAGCAGGCGTGGTACCGACACAATGGAGGGACGCAAGAGAGTGACAATATAGTACCAATAATCCTGCGTCTCCTTCAACTGCAGCCAGTTGAAGGAAACACCGTCTCGATACATGGCAAGTGCCAAGAGACGATCGAGATCTTTCTGCATCTTGTTCCCCAAGAAAGGATCGAAGGTCAACTGTCTGGCTCTCAGCGCCACACGTGTGGATGCAACCTGCGTGCTAGGAGTCGCTCTGCCCCCCCCCCCCCCCCCCCCCCCCAATCACCCCCAGCCGTCGTACCGTCAAGTGACCGCAATTGGTCGTGTCCATCATTTGCGTCACGTCTGTGCACAGGCAGCTCCTCTGCACAATCCACGCTGTCAGCACCTCTGCCCTGCTCAGACGTAGGTACTTGTGCATGTCTCGCGGGTTCATCCGGCTCGACAACACCCTCACCTTCGTACATATCATCCATAGCCAGCGTCCCCTCCAAGGCATCATCATGCTCTGTAGCCAATCTCTGGGAAAGCGGGTCCCTAAGCATTACTCATGCTCGCTGCAACCGCCACAAGATCTCTCCAGTCCGCCGCGGGCAGTGTGCCTTTTGTTTCGTGAAGTGCTCTACTCCCCTGGACCTGGAACCAGGAAAGACCTCAGCGCACACGCGACAACGCATCAAGAAGTTGCCTCCACCAACCAGACCGTGGTCCTGACCTCTCTCAATCCACTCCCACACTGCATGTGAACGCTGCAAGTCCGCTTGTTTCCACTCAGGCAATAGCACGAAGGCGGGGATAGGTGGTGCCCAAACGACGTCTGCTCACCGTCGCCATCGTGCACGAAACACTCACGATGCAAAACAATGAGAGATGCGGATGCGGTGTGCTAAAGGGCGGAGTCACTCGAGGTCCAGAACACAATGTCTTACTTGCGCACCAGTCACTGGCTCATTCATGCAGCATGTGTAAGAGCTGCATTACCGATTGAACAAAGGCAATGCGTTAGACACCCTGTAAATCGTCCACCACCGAATGGAGGAGGAGGAAGAGGAGGAGGAAAAAGATGGAGGAGGAGGATGAGGACGAGCAGGAGCACAAGGAGGAGGACTGGGAAGGGACCGAAGTTGTTGGCCACGGTGTCACATTCGCCATACCTCATTCTTTGTCTTTTTGTAATCATTCAGTCAATCAAACCATCGATCGATCAATCAATCAATCAATCAATCAATCAATCAATCAACCAATCGATCAACCAATCAATCAATCAATCGAAGACCTTATCAGACCGATTGGGATCGTCGATTGATTGATTGACTGATTGATTGATTGATTGACTGATCGATCGATGGACACAAGCAGTTCTCGGGTAGCAGAAAATTCAGGAATGAAAATTCTGAAGTGAAAGTTTTGGGCAGTCTGAAAATCAGGAATAGTCCTGAAGTGGTGAAAGGTCCGAAGATCCTGAAAACCACCTGTTTAGGCAGGCTGCATCCTGAAGTGGTGAAGGGTGTCCTGAAGTGGTCAAGTGAGAGTTTTGGACAGTCTTAAAATTCTGAATGATCCTGAAGTGGTGAAAGGTCCGAAGACAATGAAAACCACCCTTCACCACTTGAGGAGGCAGCCTGCCGAAATAGGTGGTTTTCAGGGTCTTTGAAGCTTTCACCACTTCAGGACCATTCAAGATTTTCAGACCTGAATGGTGAAAGGTCCGAAGACCCTGAAAACCACTTGTTTAGGCAGGCTGCATCCTGAAGTAGTGAAGGGTGTCCTGAAGTGGTGACGAAAAATACGACTGTTGTTAACCTTCTCTCTCGATGGATTGATTGATTGATTGATTGATTGATTGATTGTTTGATTGATTGATTCATTGATTGTTTAATCGCCTCAGGGGAAAAAAAAAAAAAAAAAGTCAGAGGAGCCTGATATAGAGTAGGCCGGGGCGATGAAGGACGTGACCTCCTCCACTTCCTCTTCCTCCTCCTCTGTCGTCGTGGCCTTCGCCTCCTTCACCGCCTCCTCCTTCTCCATCGTCAGCCCCTCCTCCTCTTCTTTCTCGTCCTCCTCTTCTTCCTCGTCCTCCTCTTCTTCCTCCTCCTCTTCTTCCTCATACTCTTTCCACTCCTCGTCCTCCTACTCGTCCTCCTCCTCCTCCCCGTCCTCCTCCTCCTCTTCTCCTTCTTCCTCCTCTAAGTTTTCTCCCTCTTCCTCCTCCATCGCCGTGGCCTCCTCCTCCACCTCTTCTTCGTCCTCCTCCTCCTCGTCCTCCTCCTCCTCGCCCTCTTCTTCTTCGTCGTCATCCTCCTCCTCCTCGCCCTCTTCTTCTTCTTCCTCCACGTCCTCTTCATGCTCCTTCGTTTCCCCCTCTTCCTCCATAACCGGAACCTCCTCCTCCTCCCACTCCTTCGTCGTCGCCGTGGGATCTTCTTCTCCGTCGCTGTGGGCTCCTCCTCCTCCACCTCCTCCTCCACCTCCTCCTCCACCTCCTCCCTCTCACCTCCTCCTCCTCCGCCCTCCATCGTCGGGCCCTCCTCCTCTTCTTCCTCCTTCGCTTCTTCCTCATCCCCTTCCCAGTCCTCCTCCTCCTCCTCCTCCTCCTCCTCCTCTTCTTCTTCTTCCTCCTCTAAGTTCTCTCCCTCCTCCTCCTCCATTGTCGTGGCCTCCTCCTCGTCCACATCTTCTTCGTCCTCCTCCTCCTCGCCCTTTCCTTCTTCGTCGTCATCCTCCTCCTCCTTTCCCTCTTCTTCTTCTTCCTCCTCGTCCCGCCAGTCCCTGTTCAGGCTGTCCCCGAACTCGTCGTTCTCCGGCCTATCGTCGCCGATTCAGTGAGAGCGTCCTCCTCCACCCGTTTTTTTTTTCTTTTTCTTTTTTCTGTGGTCCAATCAATCAATCGGTCAATCAATCAATCGGTCAATCAATCAATCAATCAATCAATCAATCAATCAATCAATCAATCAATCAATCAATCGGTCAATCAATCAATCAATCAATCAATCAATCAATCAATCAATCAATCGAAGATCGCACCGAATCGATTGATTCGATTATCAAGATCCAATCGAATCAATCAATTCGATGGGATCGATCGATCGATTGATTGATTGATTGATTGATTGATTGATTGATTGGTTGGTTGATTGATCGGACCAAAAAATAAATAAAAAAAAATGTGGGGCCTCATTCTCCTCCCCACCTTCTTCTTCATGCGGACAGTCATTGACGATCGTCGTGGGCTCCTCCTCCTCCACCTCCTCCTCCTCCATCGTCGGACCCTCCTCCTCTTCTTCCTCCTTCGTTTTTTCCTCATCCACTTCCCAATCCTCCTCCTTCACCTCCTCCTCCTCCTCCTCTTCTTCTTCTTCCTCCTCTAAAACTCCCTCCTCCTCCGCCATCGCCGTGACCTCCTCCTCCTCCACATCTTCTTCGTCCTCCTCCTCCTCGCCCTCTCCATCTTCGTCATCCTCCTCCTCCTCCTCGCCCTCTTATTCTTCTTCCTCATCGTCCCGCCAGTCACTGTCCAGGCTATCCCCGAACTTGTCGTTCTCCGGCCTATCGTCGCCGATTCGATGACGGCGTCCTCCTCCACCCGTTTTTTTGTTGTTGTCTGTGGTCCAATCAATCAATCAATCAATCAATCAATCGAAGATCCCATCGAATGGATTGATTCGATAGGATCTTGATAATCAAGATCCTATCGAACAAGATCCTATCGAATCAATCGATTCGATGGATCTTCGATCAATCGATTGATTGCGGACACTCATTCACTATCGCTGTGGGCTCCTCCTCCTCCACCTCCTCCTCCTCCTCCTCCTCCTCCTCCTCCTCCTCCACCTCCTCATCCTCCTCCTCCTCCTCTTCTTCTTCTTCCTCTTCTAAGTTCTCTCCCTCCTCCCCCGCCATCGCCATGACCTCCTCCTCCTCCACATCTTCGTCGTCCTCCTCCTCCTGGCCCTCTTCTTCTTCGTCGTCATCCTCCTCCTCCTCGCCCTCTTCTTCTTCTTCCTCATCGTCCTCCCAGTCCCTGTCCAGGCTGTGCCCGGCCTTCTTCTTCATGCGGACACTCACTCTCCGTCGCCGTGGGCTCCTCCTCCACCTCCTCCTTCTCCTCCTCCATCGTCGGACCCTCTTCCTCTTCTTCCTCCTCCGCTTCTTCTTCTTCATGCGGACACTCATTCACTATCGCTGTGGGCTCCTCCTCCTCCACCTCCTCCTCCTCCTCCTCCTCCTCCTCCTCCTCC